GGGTTTACAAGGGTTTAGGGTTTAGTAAGAGGGCACTAGGGTTGGGGAACCCGTAGGGTTTGGAAGACAGAGGGTTTGGGGTTTGTTGGGCTCCTGGGACTCAGGGTTTGTGAGGGTTTAGGGTTTGCGAGAGTTTAGGGTTTGTGAGGGTTTAGGGTTTCCTCCTTAAACCTCAAAGTGTTGTGTCTGCTGTTTCCCCCCATTTTCGTTTTGCTGCTCTTAGGGTTTAGAGCAGCTTCATAAGCAGCTTCTAAAGCGTCTTCTCTGTTGGCCCGTCTGCGCGCAGCAACCAAACCCTAAACCCTAAACCCTAAACCCTAAACCCTAGGCCCGCGCAAACCCTTGCCCGCACACGCACAGAAGCAAACCCACTCCAAACCCTAAACCCTAAACCCTCGACGCGCACAATCCACAAGTCCCCATTCGCCCCAGAACAAGAATTTCTCGCTGCTAAGGGTTTAGGGTTTAGGGTTTAGGGTTTAGCGGTTACAATTCAGGGTTTCTGGACTTCGCAAAATCTACCCTTCAATGAATGAGAACCCTAAACCCTAGACACAAGCTCTAGGGTTTAGGGTCCAGGGCGTAGGGTTTAGAGGGTTTAGGGTTTGTAATTTTTTAGGGTTTAGGGTTTACTTTTTCTTTTGGACAGAACACGAAAACGTGTTTTCGTGTTTGTATCAGCTTTAGGCTTTAAAGGTTAGGGTTTAGGGTTTGAATTTTCTCTTGGACAAAATATGAACAATACGGGTCTCGTCTTCACGCCTTCAAGGCTAGGGTTTAGGGTTTAGGGTTTACATTTCCTTTTAGACAAAATACAAGCACACCTTAAAGGCTAGGGTTTAGGGTTTAGGGTTTAGAGTTTACGGTTTACATTTTCTTTTGGACAAAATACAAGCATTAAGGCTCTCTGCTTCACACCTTAAAGGCTAGGGTTTAGGGTCTAAGGTTTAGGGTTTAGGGTTTAGGGTTTACATTTTATTTTGGACAAGATAGAAAACGCCTCCGATGGCTAAAAAGGAAATGCTGGCTCCGGCTACGATCGCTCCGGTGTATCCAAAGCCTTCTTCGGGTTCTTCTTCTGAAAATGGTGAAAACAAAAGGGAATTTGGCGGGAAAAAGTGGAAATAAATAAGAAATAAATAAATAAATAGATTAATTAGTTAAAATAAACAAAAGAAAGAAGAATTAAACTGGAAATCCCGAAGTTCAGAACCCAGTCTCACCCCCGAGCAGATCGCGCACACTGATGACCTGCACGAAACCGTCTTGCACTTTGCAAAACTTTTCATTTTCATTTTCGAATTCTTTTTGCGAATTTATTTCTCCTGAGTCTTCGAGATCATCTTTTTCGCCTTCCCCATAGTTTTCTGAGTCCTGCTGCTGCTGCTGGTCTTCAGCAGCAGCAGCAGGGTCACCCTGCTGCTGCTGCTGCTGCAGCAGCAGATCCTCGAAGGCTGTTTCTGCTTCCAAGGATGTCAAATCGTTTTCTTCTATTTCTTCTGCACTTATGAATTTAAAACTGTTAAACCAAATTGGAATTTGGCCTTCTTTTGCTTCTCCCGAAAACTGCTTCGCCGCCCTCACTCCCACGTTCAAAAACGCCCTGCGCGCAAACCCTAAACCCTAAACCCTAAACCCTAAACCCTAAACCCTAAACCCTAAACCCTAAACCCTAAACGCTAAACCCTAGGCCGTGGCCACGGGCGAGGCGTCGGCCCGGGACCCGAGTCCTGAGCCTGAACGCGAGAGCCGAGACCCTCAAACCCTAAACCCTAGATCCACGAACCCTCACCCCACAAACCCTAAACCCTAAACCCTAAACCCTAAACCTTAAACCCTCCTTCAAATTCCAGCCCCCTGCACACGCTGGAGGCCCCGTGACGAGCGCCGCAGCCCCGCAGCCCGCGGCCTAGCCAGCACCTAGGGCCTAGGGTTTAGGGTTTAGGGTTTAGGGTTTACTTGAATTCGCCGGGAATAAAAGCCCGCACATAAACAGAAACCACTCGAGACTCTCTTGGCTTCAAAAGAAACTTCCTGTCCATACAGTCCACTTGAATGAAAGCCCCCCCAAGTTGTGCAGCCTGATTTAAATAAATAAAAAAATAAATAAATAAATAAATACATAATAAAAATAGTATTTTTTTTTTGTTATTACATAATTAATTGATTGATTAATTAATTGATTAATTAAGTTAATTAGTGGCAAGTGGGAATTTGGTGAGTAGCTTGAGGGCTGCAGCAAATAGCACAGTATTTAGCTAGCTAGCTGGCTAGCTAGCTAGCTAGCTAGATAGAAGGCTGGCTAGCTAGCTAGCTAGACAGCTAGCTAACCACTAGGCCCCCTTGCAAACTACCTGGTTAGCTAGATAGCTAGCTAACAAGCCAGCTAGCTGAAAAGCTAGCCCGATACTTATCTATCCAGCTAGCTAGCTAGCTAACTGGCTAGCTAGATAGATGGCTAGCTAGCTAGCCAGCGCTAGCTAGCTAGCTTCCCCAAATGCTCTCCTGCCAGCGCGCTAGATAGCTATCTAGCTAGACAGCTAGCCTGCTACTTGGCTAGCTAGCTAGCTAGCCAGCTAGCTAGCCTGCTACTTAGCTAGCTAGCTAGCTAGCTAGCTAGCTAGCTAGCTAGCTAGCTAGCTAGCTAGCTAGCTGGAGCTGCTGACCATGACGGCGGCGGCGGCGTCGACAGCAGCGCCCCACTGGGTGTGCTGCTGCAGCGTTTCTTTTGCTGCTGCTGTTGCTTTCAAAAGTTCCTTCACTTCTGCTGCTGCTGCTGCACTTCTAAACTCAGTGAACACTCCAAACACCAGCGCCGCCGCAGCTGCACACACGCCACACAAACCACACTTTAGTGTTTAGGGTTTAGGGTTTAGGGCCTGCAAATGTCGCAGCTGACGACAGGATGACAGTATCAGCCAGTAGCTAGATAGCTAGCTAGCTGGCCATTTAGCTAGCTGGCCATTTAGCTAGCTGGCTAGTCATTAAACTAGCCAGCTGTTTAGTTCGCTAGCCACTCAGCCGTTTAGCTAGCTAGCAGCAGCAGAAGCAGCAGCAGCAGTAGCACCTGCAACAAAAGCAGCAGCAGCAGAAGTTGCTGCTCGGATTTTATGTCCATTGTTTGTAGCTGAAGACAAAATCTTCTCCCCAGGAGCCGCCAGGTGTACAGACGCCCCGTAGTTGCTATAGCTAGCCAGTGACCCGCTCGGCGACAGAGCAGCAACGCTGCAGCAGCAGCAGCAGCAGCAGCAGCACAAACAGCAGCAGCAGCAATACAGGTTTGCGAATACAGGTATGCGTAGAGCTACACTTAAATATTCATATATGCACTGTACGTGCAGCAGAGACAGAAAGCCATAAAAAGTAACTGCAGCAGCAGCAGCAGCAAATCAGCAGCAGCAGCAACAGCAGCAGCAAGTCAGCAGCAGCAGCAGCAGCAGCACGATCAGCCCATGCAGCAATGACAACGGCAATGGCAGCAGCGGCAATCAACCCGCGGCAGCAAAAGCGCCACCACCTCAAGCAGCAGCAGCAACAGCAGCAGCCAATCAGCAGCAGCAGCAGCAGCAGCAACGGCAACAGCAGCAGCAGCAGCAGCAGCAGGGTTTACTTGATGGTGTTATCTATGCCGAGGGAGATGGGATATAAAGTGGTGCCTTCGTCGATTTCTTTTTGACTTCCACCTGCTGCATTAATAATAAGAATTCCCTTTCCTCCGTTGGCCTTAGCAGCAAAAGACAAGGCCCGATATATGCTGCTGCTGCTGCTGCTGCTGCTGCTGCTTGCTGCTGCTGCTGCTGTTGCTTGCCAGCTGTTCAGCAGCACAGACACCCCTTGCTCTATGGAGCTGTCGATGGCGCGCAAAAGCGAAGCTGTCGTTCCCTGAAACGAAAAGAGAATTAAATTAATTAAATTAATTAAATTAGTTAAATTTAATTATTTATTTAAATTGATTAAATTAATTAAATTGAATTAATTAAATTAATTAATCTAAACAAACAGCAAGAGAAAGCAGTTCAAAACGCAAAAGAAACAGCCAAGACGCGCACAGGAATCGGCAAGCCGTGAAGGCAGATCTCGAAGCCCAGAAAAGGATTTTGGGGTTAAAATGCATTAAATTTCAAATACATTTAATTAAAAACTCAAAATATTTGAAATAGTTTAATAAAAACTGCAAAAAAACGGCAAAATTAGACAAAAATTGGGCAAGAGGTGACTCTGGGCTGCGAGCGGCGGCCGTTCGGAGCTCCGTGGGGGTGAAATGGAGGCAAAAGGGGCGGAAAGCGCGTCAAATGGAGCTGAAATGCGAGTTTAAAAGAATTAAATTAAAAGTAAATTAAAATTAAATTAAATAAATTAAAATTAAAGTAAAATTCGTCCTAATAAACCCAAAACAACGCAAAACCGACCCTTCCCGCCGAATCGGCAAATGCCGCAGACAGCACTCGGCTTTCTGGGGCGCAGCCGGGAACTGCTCCTGTTTCCGGAGCAGCAGCAATAATGCCTGAAAGAATTAAATTAATTAATTAAACGAAACATTTAATTCATTTAATTGTTCATTTGCTGCTGCTTAACCATCTAGCTGCTGCTTTTCGCCGTTTTGCTGCTGCTGTTGGCGACAAACGCGAAAATCCGGCATTCGTAGCACCAGAAATGAACGAAAAACGCGATTTAGGGTTTGGGGCTTAGGGTTTAGGGTTTAGGGTTCAGGGGCTCACCTGCGATGTGAGTTGCATCATCCCCCACTTCGGCAGTGTCTGCAGCAGCAAGAAACACAGAAGACCCCACACGCCTAGCAACAGCAGCTGCAGCAGCAGCTGCAGCAGCTGGAGCAGCTGCAGCAGCAGCAGCAGCAGCGGCATCTGCACTAACACTAACAAGGCAGAAGCAGCAGCAACAGCTACTACAGCAGCAGCAGTAGCAGCAGCACTCGCAGCAGCATCACGACAGTTAAATAAAGGCAGCAGCAAACAATGAAACAGCAGCGAAGGCAACCGCACCACAAGCAGCAGCAACAGCAGCAGAAACAGCAACACAAGCAACAGAAGCAGCAGCAGCAGCAGCAGCAGCAGAAGCAGCAAGTTCACGTTCACGTTCTGCTGAAAAGCTGTCCGCCGTCATCGTCAGCACTTTGCCAGTTAAATCCGTGTGGTCTGCCACGGCGTTGCTGACTATGCCAACCTGAAGAAAAAGCAAGGGTTTAGGGTTTAGGGTTTAGGGTTTAGGGTTTAGGGGTTTCGGCCGCAGCAGCACTGCGCGCTGCAAACCAAGCCTACAGAGACCGCGCAGCCCAAAATCCTGCACTCGCGAATATAGCCGTAAACCCTCAGAATTAAGGGTTTAGGGTTTAGGGTTTAGGGT